TTCTGATGGTCAATTTTATACTAATGTAAGCTTAGGGCATATCGAACACATAGTCTGAGCATTTGAAGTAGCAATATTTTGGTAGCTCGCCGAAAGCAGTGACTCCCCCAGTCTTCTTCCAAACTGTTTTTTTGGAATTTCCAGACGCAACTTCGTCACCCCATGCCTAGACTCGGGTACCGAAGACAAACCTATGTTTTTATGAAGAGGGTTGAAGCTTGGTAACAGTCTTCCAGAGTGACAGATATTGCACTCTTCCAAGGATAATGTTCATTAGAAAACCGATCAGTCCCTGACTACGATCTCATTGGCATGCAAGAGCCGACGCGAGTCCATTGTAGATTATGAGTCATTGCTCTCCGAAATTTACCATTAATGTTTCCATTACATCCTGTGGCATTTCCATCTCAAATGTACTATTAGAATCGGAGTTCTCAGTGAAAATCTCTGGAAACACTTTATCTAAATTTTGCACTCTTCTGTCTAAATTTTGCACTCTTCAGCAATGTTCAATTAAGACGATGAAATTCGCGTTCGGATGTAAGTGGTTCAACGAAGAGGGGTGTATAGTAAGCTGTTTTCGCTTAACGAAAAGATTAAGGAGGAATATGAAGAGAATATGAATGCTTTATATAAAGAATATAGGATGCCACATTCAAAGCCCGACTGCCTACTTTAATGGGTCGGCTTAAAAATTGCTATTTTTTAATGGATAGCCTTTCAGTGTTAACGATCACAAAATAGGTGAATCCCTTGCACAGGACGTGCATGGCTATAGGTGAGAGCAAACTCCACAGTGTTCCTCTATAAAAATTTCAAAAAACTCCTGTTAAAGAAAGTTCGAAAAAGACTTGTAACAGATTCGCATCGCCAGTTACTTTAAAGAAAATTACCCCTCCCAGAAAAACAATTTGTAAAACCCATATTGTACTGAATTACAAAAAAAAGGGTAACATTGTAGCTATATAGCTTTTCCAGCCGACAGCTTGGGGTGGATGCAAATTCAC